AGCATGCTGTACGTGGCGGCGCTGATGGGCGGCGTGTGCTCGGCCGTGATCGCCGTCGTCACGCCCGTCTACATCAGCGAGATCGCTCACCCCGAGATCCGGGGCTGCCTGTGTGCCTTAGCCAAGCTGAGCAGCAACATCGGCATGCTGCTCGCGTATCTCCTGGGCGCCTTCCTTAACTGGCGGGAGCTGGCCACGGTGACGGCGGTGGCGCCCGTCTGCCTGTTCCTGGCGGCGCTGTTCATCCCCGAGACGCCAAGCTTCCTCCTGTACCGCGGGAGGGACACGGAGGCGGCCAACGCCCTGCGCTGGCTGCGCGGCTCCGAGGCGGACGTCGCGCGCGAGCTCACCAACATGAAGGCGAACATCGCCACCCTGCGGCGCGAGACCGACCCGTGCCCGCAGCGCGCTGCCCCGCGGGACCTGCTCCGTCCGCTCTTCATCACCTGCGGCCTCATGGTCTTCCAGAAGTTCAGCGGCGCCAACGCCTTCAACTTCTATGCAGTGCCCATCCTGGACGAGACCTTCGTGGGGCTGAACCCGTACCGCGCCGCCGTCGTGGTCGCCTTCGTGCAGATCTGCGCTGGCATGGCGTCCTCGGCGCTGGTGGACACCGTGGGGCGCCGTCCGCTCCTCGTCTTCAGCAACATGCTCATGTCGGCCGCGCTGGCAGCCTACGGCGGCTACGTGTACCTGAAGGGGCTGGACCAGGACGAGGACATCCTGGCCCGGCAGCAGTGGCGGGAGTCGGACTGGGTTCCTCTCTTCTGCATCCTCGTCATCGAAATCGCCTTCGCCCTAGGGGTCTCGCCCATCAGCTGGCTGTACATCGGCGAGCTCTTCCCCTTGAAGCACCGAGGCGTTGGGTCCGTGGCGGCCTCCGTCAGCTACGCTTGCTCCTTCGTCAGCGTCAAGACGTTTGTCGACCTCGAGCACATGCTGGGCCTGTACGGCGCCTTCTGGCTGTACTCCAGCATCGCCGCGATCGCCCTCATCTTCACTCTCATTTTCGTGCCTGAGACGAAGGGCAAGAGCCTGCAGGAGATGCAGACGGTCGAGCAAACGAAGGAGACGCTCATATAGCAGACAGCCCGCCCACTAGCCCCGCTGCGCCCACCCACCGTCCACTGGGAGATGCCGCCTGGACAGCGGCCCTACAGAGAGATCCTGCTGTAGGTCCTGCCGCAGGATCCCAGCGCCCCGGATCCGCGGCGCCGCCCCCGTCTTCCCGTTTCTGGTGGCGTCCCACCCTCCACGCGGCGCCGCGGCGGCCGGGAGCCCCGTGGCCGCAGCCGGGCTAGAGGGCGGTTCGAGCCCACTTGTGATAAGCTGCGTCCTCCTCCTCAGCCGCAGGAACCGCACTTCGCACCGCCGACGCGGCTCAGAGTCGCGTGTGCGGACACAAGGACACTTTTAATCTTTAGGATCCATTCAGCAGTGACTTAATATACTTCATTATTAACACGATAGATTCAAAGCTCTTCTTTCACCATATATTTTTCATCGTCATTTCTCTTTTGAAAAAAGCCGCTTGGAAACATTGTTCACTTCTTAAATATTTCTGTGATGTGTAGCAAACAACTGCATGCTTCCTACCACCTTAAGGAGAGGTACGCTCCACACGAACAGTGTACCTTCGAAGAAGAATTAATATTTAAGTGATAACGAGCCTTATATATAGATAGTATCTTGATCAGGGTTAATCGAATTTATCTGTTTTATCTTCGACAAATATCTTATTTTTAAGTTCCAGTGACTAGTCGCGCTGGATCTAGTGATTAAAGAGTCCGCATAGGCCTATCGTTACAAATGTTGTAAGGACGCTATGACAATTCGTATTGTGCTCGAACGGCAACTGTCTCGTTTTGAGAACGAAAATGCTGAAAGTGAATAGTCTCAAGGTGAAACGTTTCTTTTCGTTTTATTTCCATTTTTAAGGAATGACAGCATACGTGCGTTCGTTTTATGCGAGCGTTAGAAAAGTAGGTACAAGAAGCCATTTTCTTTTCTTTTTGACGTGTAGTCCAAAAGGTCAAATCTAGGATCAGGTACTTCGATTAAATATTCCATACAAATACTTACATAAGTAGGATCAGGCAGCTAGACTCTTCATCACAGACAATGTGTTCAATAACAGATTTATGTTCTCAATGTCGACTGAATTAGCATCAACAGAAAATTGAAAAGAAACAATTGATATTTAATTCCTCACTGAAAATAAAGTTTATATTTCAAATAAGACGCACTAAATATTTGATGCAGTGTGTATTGGTTTCAAATATTGCTTTATATCTATAAAAAGTGGAGCCCAACTTTGGTTTGGAATTACAGCAAATGAATGGGAAAAATTAGATTATCTTCTAAAATTAGAAATACTTACAGATTGATTGGTAAGAACATACTAAACGCACCATAAGATTCAATTCGGCCTGCGAAGTGTGTCTATTGAGAGCTTATATAAAAGAGCACAATTTAGCTTTTCTAGAGCATCGTGTGTAAA